TTGCAGGGTGCCAATTTTATTCTCATTTGGTGTATCAGGTAAAGCATATCAGCATTGGAGAGTGGTGCTGGTAACCAGATTCCAGCATCAGTTCCTCACAGATGTCTAGTGGAAAAAGGTAGCTCTGCTTGTGACCTCCTTACAAGTTGGTTGTGATTGCAAGTTGGAAAAAGCTGCCAGCATAGGTGTAGTCATTGCTTGACCCACCCTTCAGTCCTCATTTACATTTGTAGCCGTTTTCTTTCGCCTTTAATCTTGTCGAGTAATTAAGTAGCTAAAACCTCATCCCAGAATGTAAGTCTTGTCCAAGTGAATTGCCTGAAGTTTTGCCTGATGTGGTTTAGATGCAGAGATGCCATCATCTATGTGATGCTTCTTGGCACTTAACCATCATTCCCCTTTGTTACAGGGAGAATGGGCAGCTTTTCCCTTAACCATCAGGCTGCTCTGGGCTGCTGTTAGAATTCTCTCCATATTCCTGCCATCAAAGCGATGCTGTTGTGTCAGTGTATCACTCTGTGCAATCTGATCAAATCCTTCAACACGCTGGGGCTGTGCCCTTGCAGTTCAGCTCAGTTGAGCAGAAACACTATTTTTTGCCAAGTTCCAACAGATCAATGAGCTACTTCAAGAATGCAAAGATCCAAATAGTTCTGGCTCTCAAGGTAATTCTGTTCTCTGAACAGCTACCAGACTCTGCTTTATTGCTTTTTTAAAAAACAAACACAACCTCATATACCATTTTGTCAGCTATGTACCATACTGTTGTCCAAAGCATAATACATTAGCATTTATTCAGCACTTCGTGTTTTCGTGTTCTGCACAGCCATTAATTAATCCACCCTCACTCCTCTGAGAGAGCTAAATATTATCCCCATTTTACAGATGATTAAATATTTTTAAAATAAAGACAGCTATGCTTTTAAGTCTGTGTGGAGAACTCTCAGCAGGATCATGATATAATTGCTTCATTAATAGGGAGTACAAAGCATAAACCTTGAAGCTTTTTGTCAGTTACCCACTTCTCGTTCCTGGTCCTTTGTCTGCTTTCCACTTTCTCTCACTCTAAAGCCATTCTCTACTTTACCTGTTACGGCAACTTCCAGAGCCTCTGTTTTGAGAGGGGAAGAACACTGAAGAATGTGCTGCTTCGTTAGGTGCTAATAAGTGGGTTCTCAAGCCCTTCCTTGGAAAGCAAGAGTATTGTCATTGCTGCTGCTTTATTCCTTGTCTCCCATCCTTTCCTGGTCTCCGTCAGACAAGAAGTTGGAGTCCTGGAGCAGATTCCAAGTGAGTCTCCTACATAGCAATGCAAGCATAAATTATAAATATCCCTGTATGCAGGCCTTTGTTTCTGGCAAGGTTCTTAATGCTGAGACCCAGCCAAGACACCTGCTGTTTTTATAGAAACTGTCAGCGGGCCTGAAGTGCTGTGAAGAGCCCTTACCCTTTTAAAGACCAAACAATTATATTCTCTCTGAGCAGGAGATGTGTGGGGCAGGCAGTTCTATTGTATGAACTGGACGTGCTTTTTTGTAAGTACAATTCTTGGTGATTTTTTTTTTTAGTGAATTCTAAAAAATAGGTAGCACTGACATGCGTCTGTCTTTCTAAAGACTTAATTTATCTCCTTTGTAGAGGCTTTCAGTCTGATTTGCTAACTGAGAATTAGCTGCTGTAAATGAAGATGGATGTTGGGATGATGTTGCTTTCTTCTTGCTGAGTGCCTGCTGCTGCTCTCTAACCCTTTTAATGGTTCCCTAATGAGTGATACATGCCCAGCTAAGGGCAGGGGACTGTCCATTAGACATCTGGCAGGTGGCACCGAAGGGTGACGTTTCCAGCTGAAATTTACAAAGTAACCCTTTTATTGCCTGAAGTTCTAGAAGGGTTTCTACATATGTTGTAGCCTCAAATTTCCTTGATGCCCCGACTTCGGTGCACACTGCATCTAGTCACAGGCAGCTAGAGGTTACACCATTCTGTTGCCTTTCGGCTGAGTCTAAGGCCTTGTCTACACTGCCACTTTACAGCGCTGCGACTTTTTTTTCTCAGGGATGTGAAAAAACACACCCCTGAGTGCTGCAAGTTTCAGCGCTGTAAAGTGGCAGTGTAGACTGTGCACCAGCTGGGAGTGCTGGTACTACTCCCCTCGTGGAAGTGGGTTTTTTACAGCACTCTCTCCCAGCGCTGGTGTTGCGTTTAACCGCGTTTAACATGGCTAGTGAAGACACACCCTCACAAACTTCTTTAGAAATCTGCTAAGTCATCAGAATTTGCTTCCTGTAAACGTTTATCAGCAGTTCCTTTCCCCTTTATAGTTCATCCACCTACTACTTCTGAGGAAGGAAGGAAGAGAGATTCATAGTTCTAGTATATGTATTCCGCCATCATCCTGCTGTGCTATAGATCAGTGGTTCTCAGTGAGGGCCCAGGGCCCACAGGGGCTTGCAAGCAGGTTTCAGGGGGTCCGCCAAGCAGGGCTGGCATTAGACCTGCTGAGGCCCAGGGCAGAAAGCTAAAGCCCCCACCACCTGGGGCTGAAGCCCAGGGCTCCAAGTCCTGTCACCCGGGGCTGAAGCCGAAGCCTGAGCAACTTCGTTTCGCAGGGCCCCCTATGGCATGGGGCACCAGGGAATTGCCTTGTTTCCTATCCCCTAATGCTGGCCCTGGCGTTTATATGCAGAAAAACTGTTGTGGCACAGTTGGGCCATGGAGTTTTTATAGCATGTTGGGGGGGCCTTGAAAAGAAAAAGGTTGAGAACCCCTGCTATAGATGATTAAAATGATGTACAATTTGAAAGCTTTCTAGTGATTGGAGTCATCCCAATTACAGCTTCCTGTCGTCTCATTGTTGGATCTCTGACTGAAACACCGATTGCAAACTTCTTCTCCATTGAAGAGGTCTCTCTTGTTTGTTAGCCCTGTCCAAGCATAGTGTACCGTACTTCCTAGGGTTATTTGGGGAAGATGAGGATTTTGTCATCTTGGCAGTTGTACGTGATGAAATTTGTATTGAATTTCAGTAGATCTGTGAGCTAGAGTATGGCAGCATTATTTTAGACAGCTTCCCAAAAGGGGTGTGCTGAGGTTTTTCATCTGATCTTGGAGCCAAATCTGAGAGGGCAGTGTCCCTTTTTCACCTGTTCATTTATTGCACAGAGCAAGCATGCACATAGCAAAGGGGCATGTGACAAACTGCACATCACAGACATAGTAGGTGTGGCAAGGGATTGACATTAGGATTGAGAACTGTAAAGTACATATATTAGAAAGGTGGAAATAAGTGTCTCCCTGTACTGATCTGCTCACTTTTTCCTCACTTTCTGTACACAGGACCAACACACAGAGGTACATCTAGTAGGTTACATTACAATTGTTGTGTGGGGTTAGCTTTAAGTATGGACAAGGTTTTCATTCCTTTTTTCACCACTTTTTTGCTACTAAATTTGTCACGTGATACCTGTTCTAAATTTGCTGTTTGCTTTTATTGGCACAAACAAGATGCTGTGCCTGTTGCACAAAAATAAACGTTTCTCTCATTATTGCAAACTCAGTATTGTTCTAATGTGTCCATGTGTGTCACCACTGCTATGCAGGAGGAAGTTTTATAGAAACACAGACTAAACAGGAAGTGATCTGTTCCAGCGGGGCGGGGATATAGACAATGGGGTGTGTGTGTGAGAGAGTTTCTTGGAGTCACATGGCCCAGCATCTGGATAGCAGTGCTCTCTAGGGAGGTTTGTTCATGCAGCCGTATACAGTTATTAGGCTTCTAGAATTACAGTTCTATGATATTGCAGATCAGGAGTTTGAGTAAGAATAATCAGCTCACCAGGGCTCAAAATAAATCTGGACACCTGCTCTCATAAGTTATTTTTGTCAAACTAGAAACTGTATGGACACTGAGCCACCACTGATTGATATTGTCCAACACTTCAACATCTGTGTCTTCCGCTAGATCTCCTACCATCTACCTCATCTGGAGAGAATGTTAATGCTTATTTTATGAATCAGTACTTATTGAAAAGCATTTGACTAGCCAGCTTGCCTATTGAAAAGTGTTTGACTAGCCAACTTTTATTCTTTAGATGTACAAGCATTTCAAAAACAATTAAATGCACATAGTGCCCAAAATAAGTTGCAGGGAGCGTCTTCACTCAACCAAAACCATCCTCTCTCAATCCACCTGCTTCAGAAAAAGACTGAATAAATGTGTAGTGTTGGGGAGGGAGGGAGGGACAAAAAATTGATAGGAATGGAAAAAATTCTGATGGATAAAGGGCTGTTCATTGAGAGTGCCCTTCCTGTGGTCCACTGATCTATAAATCTATGGACAGTAAACTCAGCCCTGTTGATCTCAACTATTGCAGCATCACTCAAAGAATGGAGATAGTTTCATAGATAACTATAGCTCAAACCATAAAGATGGGACCTAGTAGTTTGAATGTATCTAGAAACTGGTTGGAAGCCTGTGCAGTTCTAGAGCACAGATGTAATGTGCTCCCTACGCAGAACAACACTAAATAAATGTATCAGAGGGGTAGCCATGTTAGTATGGATCTGTGAAAAGCAACAGAGTCCTGTGGCACCTTTAAGACTCACAGATGTATTGGAGCATAAGCTTTCGTGGGTGAGTGCATCCGACGAAGTGGGCATTCACCCACGAAAGCTTATGCTCCAATACATCTGTTAGTCTTAAAGGTGCCACAGGACGCTCTGTTGATTTTTACTAAATAAATGGCCAGCCACAGTCTGAACTAGCTGAAGTTTCCAAGTGGTTTTAGGGTATGTATACACTGCAATTAGATACCATTGCTGGCCTATGCCAGCTGACTAGGACTCACAGAGCTCAAGCTTACGGGGCTGATTAATTGCGACCCATAGATATTTGGGCTTGGGCATGACCCTCTCACCTCTCAGGGTCCTAGAGTTTATGATCCTATGTATGTTGTGGTATTTTTCTTGTTATATTAATTCAAGGACATTCTCTTCTACAGAAACCAAAGCCAAAGCCTCGGGCATCCATCACAAAGACTCCGTGGGAAAGTAATTATTTTGGGGTGCCTTTGTCCACTGTAGTGACTCCAGAAAAGCCTATTCCCATCTTTATCGAGCGATGTATTGAGTACATTGAAGCAACAGGTAAGAATTTCTCTTGGGGCAAGCATCGATGAGTAAACTGTCCACTGCGAGCTTGGTACAAAAGTCATATAGTTTGTTAGGAAGTCCAGGATCATATTACCCTTGAGGGAGAGAGGGTTATGAAAATGTTTGTATGCAGATACCTTTGTACATATTGGAAAACTGGAATTACATTTTCCTTAAGCTTCCTGCATTTAACTCTTTAAGTAAGCCAGGTTGCACTGCACGCTTTTGGAAATAAAATAAAATAGGTATTATACTAAAATCTGTATTACAAGCAATCTGATAGGTTAAATTGAAATGATTGTCTTTACAATACAGTATTAGGCTGTGAACTTGAATTCCCATTCCTTGCAATTTCAGCTTCCCTGATTTGTATAAGTAATTGACAAATCATTTGTATTTCATGAGATTAGAAAATGAGATAATTTGCTCTGTTGGGATAAAGCTGAACTTTATTTTGGTGCCAATGTGGGCTTGGGTTTGTGGCTCAATCATACTACACTGAAATTGTATGCAGATACTCTAGAACCATGCACTTTGCTGTTTTGTGTCAACAAAAAATAGCTCCTTTAATTTCATTTTGTTTGGCAAATGTATTAAGGTTTGTAATGCACTGAAGATGTAAAGTGCCATTCTTGTGATTTCAGAAGTTTGCCAAATACTTACTAGCCACAGAACTAAATGTGGTAGACAGAGAGTAATATGAAAATACCGCTCCCCCCAGTCAACAATGTCAAGGAGTGGTGTCCTAATGAGAAACCCAAACCCAACATCCCCAGTGTTGTCATTCTCTTCATAGCACTGGCCCCTAACTTGATGTGTTTCATGATGTGCGTGGCTAGGAAAATCTGATTATATACTGAGTTTAATTTTCTGTCTGGCTCCTGGAGAGAGAAGGATTGGGTGTTCTTCCTTCCCCCTTACAGACCCAGAGTGGAAGGGCATCAGGAAGATTGTCTCTTTTTTACTTTGTTCATCCTCTCCCTGGATCACACCCCTACTATTGCTGCTGGTCTCTGCCTTATAGCAGAGTGAAAACGACATTACTTTGGCCTGCTTCACTGTGCTACTGTGAATTGCTGTGAGCAGCAGCGGCATAGATTAAGGGTATAGCTGCACTACAGCTGCTGCAGTTGTGCTGCTGTAGCGCCATAGTGTAGACATTTCCTCCATCAAAGAAAGGGGTTTTTCCATCAATGTACTTAATCCACCTCACCGTGAGGCAGTAGCTAGATCGACAGAAGAATCCTTCCATTGACCTAGTCGCATCTACACTGGAGGTTAAGTTGACCTAACTGTGGTGCTCAGGGCATGAAATTTTTCACATACCTGAGATATGTACTAGGTCAACCTAAGTTTTAGGTGCAGACCGAACCTCAAGCCTCTAATGTTCTTGACTGTTTTTCAGGGTGGTAGGTGGGGAATCAGTAAGAAGGGAGGAAGAGAAAACATTCACCTTTTACAACTCTGAGGCTAGGTCTACACTACAGCGGGGGGTCGACCTAAGATACGCAACTTCAGCTACATGAATAGCGTAGCTGAAGTGGCGTATTTTAGGTCGACTTACCTGGCTGTGAGGACGGCGGCAAGTCGACCGCTGCCGCGCCGCCGTCGACTCCGCTACCGCCTCTTGCCGCGGTGGATTTCCGGAGTCGATGGCAGAGCCATCAGGGATCGATTTTATCGCGTCTTCACTAGACGCGATAAGTCGATCCCCGATAGACCGATTGCTACCCGCCGATCCGGCGGGTAGTGAAGACGTGCCCTGAGTCTGCCATAGGCATAAGGAATGGCATGAGCAGCCAGTTAGCAACCTGTTGTCATGTCAGCTGAACACTCATGTGCGTGATAAAGAAGACAGAACAGTAGAGGGGCAGTAGTGGAAGGAACTATTGTTCAAGCATAACTTAAAATTGATTTAAAAATGACTCCATTTCCCATCCTTCAGTATTAGTGAGTGTTCTTATTTGGCTTTTCCCTTCCCTGTGTTAATACAATAGGCCCTGAGATTATTCCTGATTCTAACACTTGATATCAATCTGTTTTCTAGGGATAGAGAGTTCCCATACCTAGTTCTAGTTCCATTTCTGGGGGAGTGACTTCTAAACCTTTCAACACTGCAGTAGGGCTGCATGAAACATGCATTATTTTGGGCCTACTTGTAAATTTCCCCGTTTGCTTGTTCTGCACCTGAAGTGTGATGCAAGGATTTAATTTTGGAAGTTTGTTTAATGGTTAGAGATTATCCTTGAATTCTGCAGCTAGGGTTGAATTGTACTGAAAGTCATCACGAGATTTAGTTCTACCATAACTTCTGTCAAAATTCCTTAAGTGGCAAAGAATTCTAGATGCCCTAACTCAGGGGTAGGCAACCTATGGCACGTGTGCCGAAGGCGGCACACAAGCTCATTTTCAGTGGCACTCACACTGGCCGGGTCCTGGCCACCGGTCCGGGGGGCTCTGCATTTTAATTTAATTTTAAATGAAGCTTCTTAAACATTTTAAAAACGTTATTTACTTTACATTCAACAATAGTTTAGTTATATATATTATAGACTTATAGAAAGAGACCTTCTAAAAACATTAAAATGTATTACCGGCACGCAAAACCTTAAATTAGAGTGAATAAATGAAGACTCGGCACACCACTACTGAAAGGTTGCCGACCCCTGCCCTAACTATATCTGGATAGTTTACTTGATTCTGTTTGAAATACACTTTTGTGTGTGTGTGTCAGTATTTTTGATCCTTTTTCCCCCCTCCTCTGGTTTTTACTTGCTACTTTCAAAGCCTTGATAGCATTTGAGGTGGGAGGTGCTCTTAGTCTCTAGTAATGCAAATTCTTCTGCAGTAATAGCTATGCTCAAGATTACAGGCTTACACTAATGTGTTAGTAGCCCAACACAGTCAGGCTGCGGATTACAGTCTCTTTACGTCTGGATTTATTCCCTCTAATCCAAGTGTAATCAGTAATGATTAAGTATCATTAAGTGTGGACGAACTGCCTCAGCCTGCTGTTAACCCTGATAGCAACATCTGGAGTTGAGTGATGGCGTTAACACTCTCACTATTTGAAACTTCATGACAAGGGGGGAAATGCACGGACTTTTAATCATTCAAGGTCTGGGTCAAATGAAGCCTAGACAACAATCCAAAAAGTCAATTTTAAAGTGTGATATACTGACTTAGTTCCAATTAAATAACTCTTCAGTGTACGTCTGTATGCTATATTTGAAAATGCTTCTTTAGACAAATACTTTCTTCTGTTTGATCTAGTTGTTAAATGCCAGCAAAGCTTTGCTGGAGTGCTAAAGAAAGTAAATCTTTGGTGTCCTATCCCCACCTTCTCAAAAGTCATACAACAGGGTAATGTGTACAGACAAAATAAAGCGAGTGACATGTATATCAGGTTTCCGACTTCATTTAAAATTAAGACCTCAAGTATACAGAACCTGCTTTTAGAATAGAGTTGTAGGTAGCACCCCTATAACTTTTACTGGTCCCTTCCATTATGCTGTTCCTTTGTTAACGGTCTTGGGGTTTGACGTAATGTGTCGATGGAACTTAATATTCAGCTACCCTTCTGTATCCTCTTTGGACACTGAGTTTATAATGCTCTGATGAACTGGAAGGTGAAGACCCGACACAGATATTGAAAATCCAGTCACTGATATTTCATTTTCACTGATTTTTCTCCAGTAGGTTTGATTTATGAGCTTATCCCTTAATCCATATTGGGCTTCAGAGATGTCCTAATACCTAAACTACCTTCTCTGAAGAGCAGCTTTTTGCTAGACACAATTGCATTTTGGTCCCCATCTGTTCTAATTTTTTTCACAGTGGTGATATGGCGCCTCAGACCTGCGTGGTATTTAAATTGCGGTCAGGATTCATCTGTTGGAGTCTTTGCTTTGACCAATGGAAGATTTTCTCTTGCTTGGTGATATGTCCGTTTAGCTTGAGGGAATTGCCATTTTCTCCTGAAGAGCTTTGATCCTACAGCTGTGGCCTTGAATGGCCATTTTCTCTTGGGGGCTCTAAATTTTTCTACATATGTTTCAGCTTTGTTCCCTTATGGCTTATCTGAGGGAAGAAAGGGGACAGCATCTTTGTTGCTTTGATGGTATAATTCAGGCATTTGCAACATGGTGACCAAGACATCTGTAAAGACACAAGAATGTATTTTTCTAGACAGAGCTAAATTCACATAGTTCTGTTTCCTGCTCAACACCCAAAAGAGCAGGACATTCCTGAAGAGATTCTCCAGTCTGAAACCTGAAGTATTCTGCATGATCAGAATTTCCTAGGTTGCAGCTTATCTGTGTGTTTGTATGGGGGAACATCTTTTGTCATTGCAGTCCAGCTCTGTCCACTTAAAGTTCATGAGGGAAAAGAGATTCTCTTCTTGAAACACTTTATAAAACATGGTTTCTGTCTGTTGCATGTGCCTATTAATTTCCCTATCAGTGATACAAGTTCTAACATTTTTAATTTATTCACCGTACCATATCTCTGACAGTTTGTTTATACTGCAGAGGAATGCAGAAATTAAAAGGAAAAATGTACCTGTGGAGAAGTGGTCAGTCATTTGAATTACAAATGATTGAGTTCTTTTGTTGTTTGTTGTCGTTGTTCTTACTATAGTATTGCAGTAGTGCCTACGAGTTCCAAACAGCAATCAAGGTCCCATTGTGCTTGGCACTGTTCAAATGTATAACATAGGTGCTCCTTGTCCCCAAAAGCTTAAAATCTAAATCCTTTAGTGTAGGCAGATTTTAAAAGTTGCTACACAATCTGCTTTGGCTTGGCTGGAAAATTAAACTTGTTGCTTTCTGGGAAGGGGTAACTGCTCTTGACCTACCTGACTATTTTGATCTACCAGAGTAGCTGAAAAACCCAGGCTCCATCTCTTCCCAGTCACCATACACCTGTGATCAGAGAGCCAAGTCAACACATTCAAACTAATGTTCATCACCTCCCCATCTGCCTTCTCTCAC